GGGGGTGCTTTAATAAAAAGAAATCAGGGAAAACTCCTGCTGCCTCTCGAAATGCCCTTTTCTGCCTCCGCCGCCGATCCGGGGATGGGAACGGGCTCTGGCCCCCTCGCCCGCTCTGAGGCTTCTTTGGGGCTGTTTTTTTGGGGGGAGGGGGTATATAAATCTGTGCTGAACGTTTGCGGTTGAATGCCAGGAGTCCGACGTTCAGCTCCGTCGGATACCACAGGCACACACACACCCGAGGGGTGGGGGGAAGGAGAAGAGGGAGGCAGTCATCAGGCCCCCTTTCTTCCCTTCTTACCCCCTCCCTCCAAAAAGCCCTTTTGAGCATCTTGCCATCAGGAAAGCGCTCACTCCCTCATCAAGGTAAGTCGCTTTAAACCTTTGTCACCTTCTTGCGGACCGCGAGTGGAAACTTGTGCCCCAGGGCGAAGCTGGAGAGGGGGGGCACGGCCAGGCGAGTCTTGGCTTTCACGGCTCCTCGCTAGGAGCCGAGCAGATGTGCTGGCTGTCTCAGCGCCTGCTTTCAAGACTGGGGAAAGGAAGAGAGAGAGGGAAGGAAAAAAAAAAAAAAACCCCCCCCCCCCCAAAGTGCAGGCCGCACTGGAGTGCTGCGGGTCTGTCTTGCTGCAGCCGGCGAAGTCAGTGCCTCGAGAGAGGGGGACCCCGGGCTAAGCCCCCCCCTCCCCCAAATCCTCTCTCTTCCCAGATTCGCTTTTAAAGTTTTTATGATAATTTAATACCTTTTAAAAGAGAGATAGATACCGATCGGGTTTCCAAACTCCCTTCACGTTATTCGCAAGCAGTTGTTAGTAGCCTCCAGGGCGCCTGTCACATCTGTGATACAACCAAGAAGGATTTAACATCAGGGTCTTTTTTCCTTTCCTTCCCCTTCCTATCAGTTTCCCCCCCTCTCTGCAAAATAATTCATTTTGCAAAAGCACCAGCCCTGCGGTTCCCTGGGCAAGAGGGGAAGTGGGGGTTTGGAGACGGCTATAGGGAGCCCTCAGCGCCGGGCTGGGCAAACCCCAGGGCCTGGGAGGGTTGGTGCTCACGGAAAGATGAGAGAAAGCGATTATTTCTAGCCCTTTTTCCTCTA